TCAACAATCTTCCTACACCCCTTGATAATACATGCATGCAAAATTATCAACTCTCAGACCCAAGAATTATCTAACTAATTACCCAATTCCAGATAAAATTCGAGATAGAGGGTTAGGGTGTAGAATCTTACCTCTAGGATGAAGACCTTGTGAGTTTTCCTTGTGAATTTCCCCAAATATTAATCAAAGATTGATGAAAAATTAGCGTATGGTTTCCTCTCTCTCTAAAACACTCTCACTTCTCTCTAAAATATCAGATTTTAGCTCAAAAATGGTCCATTGCGTCTATTTAACTAAGTAGGGTCGGGTTATAAGAACCCAAAAATGAAGCTCCAGAATAGGATATGTGGTCGCATATGCGACCGCAGAATGGATATGTGGTCCGCATATCGTCCGCACAATTTGGCCCCTAAGCTATTATCGGCTGCCTGGGTCTGCGGTGATTATGCGGCCCGCAGACCTGTTCTGTGGTCACATAATGCACCGCATAACTGGTCTGTGGTCGCATAATGTATCGCATACTTCCCCTAGATCTTGCCCCGCATCTGCTTCCCTATACGACCATTATGCGGTCCGCATAGTGATTCTGCGACCACATAGTGGGCCGCAGAAATGCCCTCTTCTACCGAAAATTTTCTTTACTCCTCAGTGCATTGTTCAACCCTAAAATCCTCAAACACGTAAGCTTACTCTGGCACCACGAAACGTTAAATTCCTTATGCAAAATTTTATGGGGACTTACAATTTTGTCCATAACCTTTGACAACAAGTCTTGCTTTATATTTGTCAATAGTGCCATCAACATTCATTTTCCGTTTAAAGATCCATTTCGAACCTAAAAGCTTATTTCCTAGAGGAAGATCAACCAATTCCCATGTATGGTTATCCAAAATTGATTGAATCTCAGTATTGACTGCCTCTTTCCAAAATGTTGAATCAGAAGATGACATAGCTGCTTTGAAAGTTTGAGGCTCATTTTCAAGCAAGAATGTCACAAAATCTGGTGCAAAGGAAGTAGATGTTCTTTGACGTTTACTACACCTTGGATCTTCATTACTTGTAGTATTTTCCTTTGGTTCTTCTCGTGGTCGTTTAGGTCTTTCACTTAACGACTCACATTTAGTTTTATACGGACAAAGATTTCAGCATTATCTGATTCAATTACCGTATTAACATAAATTTCGGGATTATCAAATTTATGAACCAAAAACGACATGCTTTACTGCTTGTAGCATATCCAATGAAAACGCAACTCACAGTTTTTGGTCTGATTTTTACCCTTTTGGGTAAAGGTACTTGTACCTTTGCTAAACACCCCCACACTTTGAAATATTTCAAGTTGG